GTACTTTAATTCATATTCAGTCTAAAGCCATAAAGTATTATTAGACTTTGAATTGTCGTTAAGACATTGGAAGTTTCTCTTTGAATATTCCTTAAATTTTATAAATACCTTTGAGTATTTGAAAGCCCCATTAAAACAGTAACAATATATTCTTGTTGTAACAAGCTAGAATGATGTTCAATAATTTTACTTAAACTTTTATTAAGTTTCTTTATAATTTTAAAAATAATAATTCAAGATAATAAGTCTTTCAAGTGACTGTTTTTCAAGTCAAATATAATAATTGATTATTTAATAGTGATTTATCTTTCAAGACCAAAACTAATATTAAATATAACTTTAATAAGTTATCTAACAAGAAATTTATTGAAATAATAAAACTATTAGACTTACTTTTTAATTACTAGTTAAGTTATATTGCTTTTATAACATTTAATAATTCTACAAAAGCTATTTTTGTTATAATACTATTATTATTTTTACTAAGAACTAATTGTTTACTTTGCTAGTATCATATTGCTATTTTTACTATAATCAAATTTTTAATTTAGCTATGATTCAATTACTAGTTTAACTCAGATCATTTTGCTAACTTTGCTATGATCATATTACTTGTTCTACTATTTAATATTAATGAATAAAATCTCTTCTAGCTAGTGTTCAATAAGATATTAACAAATATTATCCAATATAAATTGTTCAATAAAATATAAGATAATTAATATAATAAAAGTTCATATTATAACAATAATAAAATATAGTAAAATATAGTAAAATATAATAAAAATATTATTTTTATTATATTTTACTATGAAATTTATCAAAATTAAGCCTTTTTTTTAACTAACATTTATTCAATAAATATTAACTAATTTTTTTTTAAATTATAAATATATTTTTTATATCTTTAAATATATTTTTATAAAATTATTTTCATATTTGCTTATAAAAAATATTTTTAAATAATTTTTTATAGCACTTTAACCAGAATAATCCTGTAGTCTGCCATCTTTAGCATGTGATTTCACAAAATATTACTATGTTAAAACATTTTATAATCTTAAAAAGTTTTGTTTCCATTATTCTAAAGAATATAATGCCAAATTTTTGTAAATTTCTTATTAAGTTATAGATAAAAAAACACATCTGCTATTATTTTTTATGTTAACTATAGTATAATAATACCAATTTGTAGTTCTAAACTTGAGCTATAACTTTATTTATAAAATATAAAAAATTATTAATTTTATATATAATTAGAATAACTTATCAGATTAAATTTAAAAAATATATATTAAGATATGTAATATTATTTTTATTTTAATATAAAAATAAAAAATGTTTATTAATAAAATTAAACACTTTTATATCAAGAAAAAATCTGTATTTTACTATTTTATTAATAAAGTTTATGTTATTGTATTATTTTTAATTGGTACTATATATTATAATTCTTTATATTTTTTTAATTTTTAAAATATTAAAATTTATATATTTTTTAATAATAAAAAATTAATATTTTAAAAATATAATATTTTTTATTTTTTATTTATTTTTATAATTAAATATAAATTTTTTAAAATTTTAATTAGCTTAAAAATATTAATGTAAAAATTTGAATTTAAATTTGTATATATTATGAAAATAATTATATAAATATCTGATTTCTTATATATTATAATATAGTTATTATATTATTTAAAAATAAAAATTAAAAATGTTTTAGTTTCTGCTAGAACAAATTTTTGAAAAATTCAATTTATTTAGTAAATTCAATTGTTCTGGAATTTAATGTTCAGTATAAATCTGTTCACTAAAACTTGCTTGCTTGATCTTGAAGAAGATACATGTATCTTGTTCTATAAATTTCATAAACACATGTATAGCTAGCGCTAGGATTTACTGAGAAAGATTGTCGCGATGTAATTTTCATCATTTATCGTTATAGTTCTGAATTTCTTTTTGATAATTTTGTAGGATTGGCTACTCTTGTGTTCTTTTGGCAAAGCTTTCCAAATCCTTATTGTTAATGGTGTTGTTGTGTTCGAGAATTGTAATTCGTCGCTAGAGTTGGGATGGAATCTAGATATAAAAACGGTAGATTTTGTTGGTTGATAAATTTTTTCTTTTTGGCGAAAAGAAATATGATCACACAAGGTTTTAAAAAGGTAGTTATGATTTTTTCCTACCTCGTCAGGTTGCTCGAATTTGAGGTGTTGAAAATTGAGCGCATAAATCTCAATCCGAAAATCCATAGCCCGTTTTTTTGTTCGAATTTCACAAAGGAAATAAAAGTCAAATTCCAGATAGTAAAAATGATTCTTAATAATCCTTTAATGAAATGTGATAATTGTCAAACATACATGATTCTATCAAATGAATAAAAATCTAGAGAATGCAATAATGAAAATAGACTAAAAAAGGTGAAAATGAAAATATTCTATGCTCTTTTCTTTACAACTTGAAATACTTCATATTCTTCGATTGCAAAGTACACAAGCTCATGATCCGATCCTTCCATGATACTATACTCGTAAACATTCTTATTACAATAACACTGTTTCGGATCTTTGAAATCGCCACGCAGCACGATGTCAACTCCGAAAGAAGGACCCTCCGACGCATCTTGACATATGGCGTACTCGTGATTCTCGATACGACTGAGAATCGCGTCATTTAAATTATCGTCACCCAGTGAGAAAATAAAACTGTCACCTGTTTTATTCCATTTATGTGGATTAAGTGAAAGCCAATTGAACGGATTATAGCCGCCAATCAATTGGCCGGTTCCGTTGACTCGGATGACTGTGATGGTTGCTCCTTGTTTGTCGCAAAGGCGATGAAATTCTTTGGGTGTGAATCCGTCACGACTTCCTCGTAAAAGAAGCTTGAATTCGTATGTGGTTGCTCCAGTGCTAGCATTGTTTGTTTTCCCGTTCTCAATCAGACTGTCTTCATCTTTTCGATCAATACAGCTTGCTAACCAGGATGCGTGTTTAGCATTCATAAGCGCGGAATTTATTTTGAACGAAGGAGAACGTGATGACAGAATCGGAGTAACTGGCGTATATTCTGGGTTTGAGTGCGCCATAATTATATCAGCATAAAGTTGATTTGGAAAAATTGGTTGAAACGGCGCAACTTTCTCAAGAAAATCCTCCCGCGAAATCTCTAGAAATCGCACAAGAAGGAGAATTGGTCGAAGCGTTGTACGTAAAACAATAAATTCAGCAGCCGACCATTCCGAAACATTTGTAGGAAGAAACGGTGTTTGCGCAATTCCCCATTCGATAATTTTATTCCAAATATGTATTTCTTCAAGCTCGACCAAATCTTCTCGTTCCATCAGTGAGATCACAAAATCCGGCGTCAACTTATTGAAGTCGAGAGCACGTAAGATTGTTGCCGGTGATTTGTCAACAACTCTATTACATAATTGTTGTAATTTCTTAAGTGAAGGGTGACTAAAAGCTGCATTATATGTCGAGGCGAAATTCTGCTGAAGCCATCCGGTTTTACGTTCAATTAAGTAGTCTTGTAAAATGTCCACAAGTTCTGCGAGCCCTAATTGATTCGCTGTGGTCAGAATTTCGAGAACATCTGAAGCTTTATAATTTTCGTATTCTAGATTCCCAGTATACATATACCTAAATTATATATTTCTGATTAATAGAGAATTCATGATAAAATATTGGCATCTAGACGAGCTTACTTTAAAAGAACTTCAAAAGCAAACGGCGAAATCTTCTCCATTAAAACCGAAATTATTTTTTGTTTACGAGGTTTCGCAGTGCCATTCATACCACCATTTCTAAAATCGGCAGCCAACGATTCTTTTGACAAAATCTTTTGAAAGTGTGGCGATCTAGCACGCAAAATTACAGAGTGTGCACGAAACGACTTAGCATTTTCGTCTTTTACAACCTTGATAGTGCAGTCGTAATCTTCTGCATTTTCTTGTAATCTTGCGAAATCGCGAAGTAGAAATGTGATAAAGGGGGACGACGAAGACATAATAACAATGGCAATGATAGCAATGATTAGACTAACGAACAACAACCGATTGTGGAAGGAGCGAGCAGCAATGCACGAACAATTTAGTGTAATGTAAATATAAATATGCATTCACAAAATGTGTTTGGTAGTTATTGTCGTACAAGGATTTCATTATGAAAATCACATGATCTACGTTATCTCATTCATTTTCTTTGGCATTATGAAAATGAATTAGCTCAAGACGCAGTTGTTCATTGATCGATACAGAATTACATGTATTTTTTTTTGTTTTCAGTGCATCAACAAAGCCTCTTTTGAACATCCATTTATATTCTATAGTGATTTCCCTCGTCTTTTATGCTACGCAGAATAAATATCGTGTTGTGTACAGACAGAAAAAAACCGGATTTTTAACTGCTCATATCCGGTTCGTTCAAAAAATTTCCATGAAAAAATTTGAAAATATTTGTCTCGAACAATCGAAATCCGTTTATCCTTTGTTTTCAATAAAAAAAAATTTGAAATGAAAAATTTTCGCGTTCTGTTTCGAAACGACTTTTTTTCCTTGATCAATATTTTTTTGCCGTGTAACTTTTGGTTTTCTCGTTTAACTGCCTAAACAAATGGACAATCCGAAGACGCAATCAGAACGTTTCTCGTTCTGTCAATTTTTCCTGTTATTTAATCATCACTGGGTTCTGTTACTTGAACAATTAATATCCGGAAGTGTGGGGATAATTGTAGTACGATAAGAGAACTCGTTAAGGTAAACGTTAATAACGAGAGGTATCACAAAGGGAGAGTTGTATATATTAAATAAATATTGCTTGCATATCTGAATCGAATTAATTCATCGATGATTCGATAGAGTATAAACCTATTCGAAGCTTGATTTATATGGCTGTGGAAATGATGCCACCCACATACGTATGCATCAACAATCAAGCAAAACACTTCCACTATGTTATCACCACACACCACTCACTGACAAATAAACAAATAAACATCCCCACAAAATCAAAATTCGGTCTTTCTCCTTAATTCGATACATATGTATATATCGTTTAATGGAAAATCATCAACGCGTGGACTAAAAGTCTATAAAGAAGAAAAGAGAAATAGATCAAGGGGGTTTTTTTTAATTGATGATGTATATATACATGTATATATGATGATGTATGGAGGTTTTTCCACTCTCATTTTGATATTCTGTTTTCATAGTTTCTTTTTGTTCTACTTAACCACACCACAGCATGAACGCCACGAAGTTTTGAGTCTAATTTTGATCATCGAATTCTTTTACTGCATCTAATTTGATAAATCATGTTGACACGGACTGGGATTAACACTTGAAAAAAAAATTTTTTTCGCTCCAAAAAGGCAATTCATTTATTATGGTACCTTCTTTCTTTGGTGAAGGTGAACCAAACTATTTTCCCCATTTGCATCGAATATCATTGCTATTTGATTTAATAAAAAAATTTTCTCTTTTTCATAATCGAATAAATTCTATTATTATTTGAATGGTTACCCGATCACAGTTGACAGGTCTTGTGACATACACAACATTTTATTAACTAAATGTTCATAATGCATCGCATTACTTCTTAATACTATGTAGGCGTTTTTTCGATTTCGCCAGAGTTAGCAAGAATAACCTCGGTCTAAATAGAGTTTAGCCAATTACTACGTAAGTGCACAAAGAAAACAAATATGCATATTTTTTACCGCGATATTATATATAAAATACTAAATTATATGTTAAACGAATATTAAACTATACACTGAACGAGCTTTGCAGGAAAAAAACGCGTATCTGTCATCTTACTGGGTCTCATCATATGCAAGTGTTTGTTTAATATAAAGATTTAGAATTTTAGTTCATGTTATAATAAATGCACGCCATAATATAATTAACTTTTTTCTTCTCGTTGATTCTCTTTTTTGTGAATTTGCATGTCTGTTACGAGTATCATTCTTTCTGATTTGATTTACCATTGAATCAATGTGGGTTTGTATTAAATGTAAAACATAGAATCTCAAAGAGCGGTCTTGATATACTATTATTGGTTTATGTGCCAATTCAATAGAGGTGTATATCTTCAGGGTCCCTATAGGGATCTAATCTTGAGAAAAGTCCAATTGACATCAACATCATGCATGATTATGGATAGTTATAATGCCACAAATAGTCGAGTAGAGAGAGTTTGCCCTTGAGGTTAAACCTGTGAGAATAAAATTTTATGTGCTGCATTAGATACATTGCATTCATTGAGAAACTTGGATGCCATGGATTTTGGGTGGCAAGCAATTCACATCTGTATACTAATAATTCTTGCAGCTGAGCTATTGTGACAGTTGGCCTCGATCATGCATTGCCTTTAGAACTTCACGCTAAAAACCGCAGATATTTTAAGATAAATTAGGTTATGATTCGTGTCTGTGGTTTAGTATTTCATATTTGTGTACAGCATAAATTATCCACTCAGTTTGGATTATAACTCGTGAAACAAAAAATTCTCTTTAGCCAAATTGTAACCGGGTCAAATGGTTACAATTTGGCTAAAGAGAATTTTTTGTTTCACGTATAGAACACGAGTTATGACCCTTTAAAAATCCAACCTGAGCATCGGTATAGGATTTTTTTAGATGATTTTTGTTTTTCTCATGAGTTTAGTTTGTGACTTTCGCAATTACACAATACGTAGTATACTGGAAATAAGGAGTAAAGGAGAAAGAAGGGAGAGATTGACAATTTATTCTTTGGTCATTCCCATTCAGTGATTAATTTGCCCCTATCGATATAATTCCGAATTTTGTGCCTTTTTAAGAGCTAACGGTTGTCCCTAAAATCTTGGCCTCTTTTCCTGGTACATGTACTACTGAACACACGAATCATCCGGATCATTTTAGTGATACACCGTCAATAAAACGATATAATCAATACGTACATGAATTAACCAATTTTAGTTTTTCTTTTTCACTAGTTATTCCGCAATCACTATTATGCGTGTAATATACAGTATATATAATTATATACATGTACCCTTTTTGTTAATCATTTTCGTCGTTACTTCTTACCCGATAATTAGTCTTGTTGCTTATATATGCCTAATGTCTGCCTAACTAACTTTAATACATGTCTACTGCTATGCGTGTTCGCCGAGCAATATATATAATAATATTGACTCGTTCGTTCTTTGCCTAATATTAATCACGCATTTCAATGAAACAAAAATGCGTAATTCTGCCAAGTGAGGTGAGCATAAAATTTACCCACCCACACACAGAACGACGGAATTAGATAACACTATTATTAAAGGAAGATAAAGTTATGCAGTATGTGTGAGTGTGTGTGGATTTTTTGAGCGCTTGTAGTATGCATCATTGGTTCCTATGTAAAGGAAAATGCATTTGTATGATTTTGGTGGATTGTTACACCCTTGGCAGAGAGACGAATATAATTGTGTGTTAATATTTTGGTTAATTTGTTGTGTTGCCTTTTGGGACTTGCGACCTCTTTTTTTTTAAAAAAAAAAGGTCATATGGTCAATTTGTAAAGAAAAAAGGCAACTAAAACATCATGACAATGATGTATCCGGCAAATTTGTTAGGTTTAATAATCTAACACAAAATTAAGTTCAAGTTCCCCAATATAATTTATTACAGTTTGTGATCGGACTTCATATGTAACGTAATTGATGACGAAAACGATTATTACGATAATTCTCGATCATAATAAATGTTTTTTTCTTTTGTTTAAAGGAAGGACAACAATTTCAGGTTTTTTGTGTGTTTGTGTATATCATCATCACCATCATCATCATGGTTGTATTACCTGTATCGATTATCTTTGGTAGTTGGTAAATGACTCATTTCAAATAATGCGTAATAGTAAGAATGTTCTTCCTATCGCTATTTATTCGCCATTCTGATGATATGCTGATTCTCGATTCTATCAATTTATTCCTTTCATTCTGAGTTCTAATTTCTATTTCGATACGTTATACTTTCCGATCACGTGGGATCATGACGACGAAAAATATACCTGATTCGATTTTGAAAGCATGAATTAGAAAAATTGGGAAATGACAGAAAAAAAATTTTTTCCCGCAAAACCTATATCAGCTTATATATCTCTCTCATATTGTTCATTCACAGTATTGATGCGTGTGAAATTGCGGGGCGAAGGCTCGCAGCCTTCAAACAGCATACATACCATACGAATTGAGTAGGTATTATGAACGAAAAACGAGAATAAAACTTGATTATGATCGTTATGGTTATTCGATTGATGAGGTGACTAAAAACTTGACGTTTTCTAAATACTTAATATTTGTTTATTTTGTTTCTTGTTGTGGCTTTTTCATTCTCTATGCTTTTGTTGTTGAAAAAAAAAACTAAAGATAAAAAACTGGCAATACTATTCTTTATACCAATATTCATTGCAAATAGTGACAGTCGTTGTAACACGAAAAAAGCTCTTTAGCAATTGAAATAAACATATCGATCTTCTAAAATAAAAATAAACTGACTGACTGTACATCAATTAACAATGACAGCTCATTCATAATCTTATAAAGTCCGGATGGATAGAATCTGATGGGTGGATGAAAATCTAAGTGCTTTGCTTTGCTTTTTTTTTTCTCTTACCACCACACAAATGCATACTTTACACTACATAAATAATAATCAACAAAATAATATAAATTTATAATAGTAATTTATATACATGTAATATAAATTATAAATGGTGCTAATAATACACATCGTATCTCATTCTCTTAACACATAAATATAAAGGAGACTGAACAAAATACCTTTTTTTTCTCTTCTCCTTCACTCATCTTTCAGTCAGCCAATCACTCGATCAATATCGTTATTTTTTTTTCTTTCTCTAACCATCTTTCAAAAATAAATAAATAAACAGCGCGCGCTCAAACTTCAGTTTTTTTTTTGCAAAACATATTCTCTAATAATAACAAGAAAGCTACATATACCAAAAAATGCCATCAGCGAATCCTCACTGTAATAATAAAAGAGCATCTATATTTGCTCAGACAGTATTCGAATATTTCCCGCCAAGTATTTTTGAAAGTATTATAAAGTAAGTTTGATTTTGGGACAGTATTTTTTCTTGTTCTTTCCCTATCTCACCTCCATTAATATCCATATAATATAGATATACATACAATGGAACAGTTTCTCTAAGTTCGAGGAACCCGTCGGAGATTCTAGACTTATTATTGGCATCAGGGGAACTTCGCCTTCAGGATTTATCGGATCGAATCCAAACCTATCTCATAGAAGAAAACACCGAATGGACAAACACGCATTTCGTGCTCGCATATCGAACCGCATTCCAGGATGAATCGTTCAAACGACTACAAGCGTACTGTAACGAAGCATTTGAGAAACGACCGGAAATTATCTTTGGATCAAGTGATTTTGGTCTCCTACAGAAACGAGATCTCTTGCGTCTGCTGAGACAGAAAAATCCAACAGTACCACAAGTTCAAGTTTGGGAAAGTCTAATCGAATGGGGTATCGCTCAGTCACCTGGCTCACCAACTGATATTGATTCATGGTCGTCAACGCATTGGTCGGATTTAAAACGGTCTATACGCGACGCTATCCCGCTGATACGATTTTGGAAAATATCGCCAAATGATTTTCTCAATAAAGTCATCCCGTTTGAGAAAGCTCTGCCACGTACCATATTCCATGATATACTACGACATTATTTAGTTCCACAACCACCGCCTCAATATACTGTTTGTGCTGTTTCGCCTCCACCATATCCAGATGTAGAATCAACACTCATTAATGCACAGCAAGTTGGTGCGATCGCAAATTGGATTGCATGGTCACAACAAACACCACTAGAGTCAAAAGGTGGATTCCAATTTAAATTATTATTACGCGGAAGTCGAGATGGCTTCTCGCCGTTGAAATTCCATGAGCGATGCGACAGCAAAGGTCCAACAATCGTGGTGATCAAAGTACGCGGAACGGGACAAATTATTGGGGGATATAATCCGGGTACCTGGTTATCCGAAGTTAAGTTCTTTTCCACATCATATCATAATACCAAGGAAAGTTTTGTCTTCACTTTTGGTTTGCCACGCAGTAATGATGATGAGAAACAAAGTGAACCCATTTGGAGTCGTATCAAGGATTCAACCAAGGCTATTGGACAATACGCACATTTAGGACCCGACTTCGGCGAGTCTGATTTGTCGATGCAAGGATTCAATTATCGTGATGAAAAGTTATGTTTCTGTCGACAAGATTCTTACGAACTTCCAATAATGGGTGATGGTAAAGAAAAGGTGTACTTTTCCGCTGAAGATTATGAAGTGTTTGAAGTTCTTTTAAAGTAAATCGATTTCAAGCATTAGGATCGTCATTGTTGGTGGTGGTTTTCAAACGAACAATTTGGAATTTTATTATTTTTAATACAAAAAAAAAGACTTTTTTCATTTATTCACTTAATTACTTCCTTTCACACAAAACACAAAATGAGTCGCATCATCTGTAATATAGCATTTAGACGGGTAGAATGCGCTGTGTTGTCATCATCGATCAACGATGACGGTGACTTACTCTACCCACAACCCTTTATCTCTTTCCCTCTCTTCGCATTACAATAACATAATAATTCATCTCGTATTATTGTTTACTTGACATATTCATGTATATTCACATTGCATTTTTTTTTTACTTTACTTGGATCTTTCGGGTCGGGTTATTATTTTTTTTGCCGGATTATCTTTTTGATTTCGGATTTTTATATATAATTCTCTTTTTAATTTTTGTTAAATATTTTTCATGTTGTAAATTTTGGTTTTAGGTTTTCTTGTCGTTATTAACACGCTCGCGCGTCGATTTTCTAATTTTTTATTATATATAATATATAAATACAATACATACACACTTATAAATTTAGAGAAGAAAAAAAAACAATAAAAACAAATAAAACACGAAACGTAAAACATAATTGAGGTCGAGGTTGCCTTTTTCCTATGAAAAAGTTTGCTGTAACGATGATAAATGAAAACGTTGGTTTAGCTTTTTCAAATGATGTTTGGTTCCTTATTACTATTCATTAAGCGTGTACGCGCGTATATGGAAAATAATGAGACCAATCATATTCTTTGAAACAGTCATGCACACATTTACATTATTCGTTTGTTCATATGTACACAAGAGCATATGCAATGCGCTTATATTGGCTAGGTAAAGATATGAATGCATGTGTAAGTATGGATTCCTTAATTTAGTAAAACTAAGGTTTTACCTTACCTAGATAGCAATACTATTCGGCATCGTGGACTCACTGGTCAATGTTTATATTAACGTGTGCGGCAGGAGTTTGCTTTTGCCGCGTGGTGTCATTGATTTTTAGAGACTGATTAGTTGATTTTTTACACATGACTCGAAAAGATAAGATTGCCATAAAGAGTACTTCTGTCAAATATCTTTCTGTAATGTCTAACCTTTTTGGTTTCTTTTTTCGAAAGCCACTGCTGCGTTGGTATGTATTGATTTTGATCGAATTTTCTTTTTTCTCTGAGAATAATGGATCCGATACGAGTGTGAAAAGATGCTGTCAACATGAAGGCTTTTTTTTCTTTGTAACAATTTTCCAATCGCCGCCCATCTAATGCATTGAAACATCATTGAACATTGCGATTTATCGTATATATATATATGTCACATCTAGGCTTCTTTTAGTTTGGTCATTTGGAAAAGATGATTTTGAGAAGCGCGTCTTTTGGGCGAATAATGAATGGGCGTTTTTTTTTGAAATTGCACGAGTGCGTTTTCCATATTTATTATGAAAGAATATATATGGAAAATAGTCCAAGTTTTAGGATTTCACAAATGCAAGTAAAAAATCCGGGTTCGCGCATGAGAGATACGTTACTTTAATACTTATGTCGTCTTATGTGATTTTCTTATTACATATATAGTCCATAAAAAATTTTCATTTTCATTTTCATTTCCATTACCATTATGTGTATGCATCACTATTAACATGTTAATGATTAATTAAAGTGCATATCGATATTGAAATGATTCTTGGACCCTAAAAAAGCTATCGATATTCAGTGTGCAATTTTTCTTATACTACGTGTGTTCCATCAACATCCTATTACTATTGTTGTCCTTCAATTGTACAATGTAGTAATGGTAATGGTGATTTTCTTGTGTATAGATCTGGGGAAAATGTCCGAACTCGTTTTTCTTGTTTTATGATAATCATACCAGAATGACGATTTTTCTCTTACCTGTTCCGTTTTTCGATGCGAAAATATATGCATCTAAATCATCAGTGACTAACCTAAAAGAATATTACCATCAATTTTATGGTTAGAACTCTTTATGTAACGGTAAAGAGAGCCCTTCCCTTGAACCATTTCTTCTACTGTTATACACGTAGATGGGATAAGAAATCCGTGGATCTCACTTTTAATATTTGAATCGTTGATTATCAATCCATCAGAAATGATGCAGGGGAAGTTAGCATTCCAAATCTTTGTAGTTTCAGTTTTTGGTCGAAATTTGTTCAATAACAGGCTGAAAACTTTGAAAGCAATCATATTTCGTCTTTATGATGTCATCGTTTCAAATTTCCAAAATATCAATATGCATGATCTCATCATCATCAATTTGACCGCTCCTTTTTTCATTTTCTCTCAACTTTAGCAGCATTCCGTTCATTTTTCCTTTTTCATCTTTTTCTTGGCTTCTTTATCGGATTAAAATGTAAGATTCCTTGTATACTTTTATAGGTCGTCTGTTTCGTCGTCTGCATGCTTTAATTCATACTGTAATTTTCACTAGGTCAGCTGTTCAGCACCAATATGTTTCGTAATCCGGGATAGACGAAATGAGAATTTCCGTAAGTTAAAGATGGTATTAGATGTTACACTGGGTGATTGGAACCCGCGAATTCTTATTTTAGACTAGAAGATTCGGATTTTTAACGCATTTTCTGACAAACTGAACTGTTTCTAATTTGAGCATACGCATGTATGTTCGATTACGCGCCAATGTATCTTTTGTCGATTCCAAATTAGATCTAGCCTCTTAAACTAATAAAATATTGTTTTGCCTGTCATGACCAACACCTTCGCCATCACCGCGTTCCGGACGTCGCGGTACATGAAATGACTAAAGTATATGTAATTATATTATCATTTACTTATAATTGCGATTTCATTAATGTCTGATTGTTTACGATTTCACTTTATCGTTATATCGATATGTTGATGTTCAGCTTACGCCGCGTTTCTACTTGCTATAATTTTAAAAGAATCGTTCTTTTATGATACACTACAGTATCTTGACTTGAGGGACTCTTTTTGTGTATTCAACAACCTACAAAAAGCATCTTTCTTTTGCGATGCGACGATGATCCTGTAAAGAAATAAAATAACAATGCAGGACACAGACAGCCAAAATGCTATGCAGTTGAAAGTATGATTATCGTTACAGTCTCATGAAATTTTAGAGCTTCTTTTTGCAACATGCATGAAAAAAACGAACATTGCATAAAATGCCAATGCCGCGTCATTTGTAAAAAAAGTTGGAATTAAATCTACATATCAATCGATTACATTCATTTCTATTGCACGCATGCGTACACGATCTTTGCTTTTTTTTTACTTGCATTTTTTCTTAAAAAGCAATTGACACAATTCTAAAAACAAAAGATCGTTCACCTGCAAAAATTATCCTGGACTGACTAGAATTTTTCCGGAATTAACGTTTCGAGGTTTTCAATGTTCTAATAAAATCTAAAATGAAAAACGAGAACTTGGCACTGATAAATAATTAATTTCAAGAAAAAAGAGCACGAAATCTGGATGTATATCATCACTACAGAACGCTATTAAAACAGCAAATATACCTCAAAGAAAATTTTTATTTACTTAAAAAAAAGAGTCGTAGTCTGCAACTATCAAACGAAAATTTTTCTTATTCACATCTCGTTTGTGCATTCATTCATTGTCTGTAACAACGAAAAGAATTATTTTCGGTCGTGTACATAAATTCTACGCGTCTCAAAACCGGCGTTTTAGGCACGTTCAGTGGTAGTAGGATGCAGAAAGACAATGAATAATGCAAGTTTTGTTATAAGTTTGATCACGCTATAAATCGGCGCCAAATGTACCTGGAAATATCTACATGCATGAGTAAAACCCGTTCACACTACGTTAAATGTTTCTTGACTTTTTTTTTTAATGCTTAATGATTTCAGTATGTATACCATTATTCTTTCATTTCGTCTAGATTAGTACATAAAGATTTTAAGTCCGGTCCAGTCCTATATAAAACATAGGACTGGATAGAATTAGATTATTTTAATAAAATATAAAAATTTATAATTCTGCAGAAAACATCTTTTCAATTATAGTGTCATTGACTTTAAATCTCAAATCACGTGATTTTGTTCACAATTCCCAGCAGATCACATAATATAATTTCCCGAAGATGCGAGTTAGACCGTTTTTAGTAACATATTATGCGTTATATATTAGATTGTCAAGTTAGTAGACGCATAATATATTAATCTATTTTGTTAATAAATGACTAACTAGTCATATAATGATTTCTAGTTGATTATTTAAGAGTGAAGTCTGTGTCAATAATTTTTATTATGAAGTGGTTGACTAATTTTTCTGTATTACCTATTCTTATTGACAAATAAAGAATAGTTACATTTATCTTGAATATCCAATAAAAATAGAATTCATATGATTAACTACTGATATTTTTTACTAAAAGAAAATGTTGATAAGACAGTTCATATAATTTCTAAATTTAGTCAAGAATGAAGAGAAAATAAATTCCTTGTAAATAGTTTTATGTTCTAAATATAAAAATCGATTAGATACGAAAGAATATAAAAAAATATAAAAGGATGTGTAAATGTGAAAATATATATTTGAATGTATATAACATTTATATTCATGTATATAATATTTGATTTTTCAATCACAATCTGATCATATAATTTATATATAGTATTATATATATAAGTTAACTATTAATAATAGTAATTAATTAATATATATTAATTAATTTTCAACCAAAAATTAATAATAATCAATTATTATTGTTAGTAATTAATTAATAAATATAATTAATAATTACTAATTAAATTTGTATCAATTAATATCTATTATTAATATTATTATTATTTTTGTTGAGTTTAAGTTATTTACATGTTATTTACATGTTTCTACTAACTAAAAATAGGAGAGACTAAGTTTTTATGATAAAAGAGACTAAAAACTATTATTAAAGATAGATAATATATATTTATATTGTGATAAACTAGAATAATTTCACTAAATTTTACATGTTTACT